CCTGCGTGGAAGGCCGAAGTGTTGACCACTCGACCAATCCACCCAAAATCGTCAAACGAATAAAATATAGCATTCATTTCTGTTGTTTATTGGCAATCTACAGGAAAACAAGGTAGGATTATAGGCGCCATGTTCATGTATTAGAATAATTTTAGGTGCTTGCTTATGGTATGTTTTGCTTACAGTATATGAGAGACTGTGCGGTTTAATATGTTTAAATACTTATATCAATATGTAATATTTCATTATTTAATTACGTAGAGTTTCATTGAACTGAGTTCGACGAAATTATTTATTTCATAGGAAGAGAAACTTGTTTTTGTGAGAGTTCTATTGTTAAAACATATATGATAAAATGACGTTATTAAAAAACAAGAAGAGCACGGACCTAAAGATTGTAGCCGAAAATGCAGAATGACAATGATTTTGAGATTTAGATTGAAAATGGAACAACCGGATATGTGGTCGTTTGACAATGGGACACTAAGATTAGTGATGACTGAATAGTTTTGCAACCGAATTAATTGTAACTTGAGACTTTGGTTTTCTCTTAATGTTTTTTGTAACTGAATTAACGTATCTTAAAATATCATTTCCCTGTTGGTTTTGTGAGGGATATCAATATATGCCTCTAGCTGAATTGTAAACATGTATTAATTTAATCAATAAAGTTACCTTTTAATGTAAGAGAAGAATACCTTATGTTTTATATTGTATACTCATCGAAACATGATAGTTCTGCTCAAGTCCTTGTGAACGCTTGTATAAACACTGACGGACCCCATACAGTGCAGTGACGTCGCTACCTAGGCGGAATATCAAATGCAGCAACAAGTTGTGTCCAAATTGCATTTGTGCAGTCCATTGGGTCCAGAGTGAAATCCAGGCTTAAGTCCTACACAGTCCATTGGGTCCAGAGTGAAATTCTACAGTCCTACAGAATGAACTCGTTACCACCGTACCGTTGGGTAGGCATTCCACAATGATTATTATTTCCGATGTTTGCTGGATATGAGGGCGAGAAAGTATCATTTACCTTTCCAACCATGATAAATGTGATGCACGATGATATACACCACAAACTGGCAATGTGATCCGAGAAGTACGCACCATTCTCCTTCTATGGAATTCATTTTTCTGAAGAATAATTATAGACTTGTAAAGTTAAGCTGCTTGCAATTCTCGATCTAAGGGAATGAACCCGAGCTAAGATAAGAAACTAATACTATTGAGATTTATTTCCGCACAGAGTTTTCCACAAATATTTTACTTATCTTATTGCAACTAATACTGACCAATCTTTTATGACAGAAAAACTTAACACAAATAAGTTTGATTGTAAGAAAATACATAATTTGTTAAAACATTATTCGTAAAATTACAATTTGATAGGATGGATGCCAACATTTCACATGGATTTTTGTTGTCTTACTCGTCATTCAAGGTATGATTTTAGCCTTGTTTTATTCTGACCCAATCTAAAATACCAGTGTTTTCTAGCAAACTACAGTACCATTCTGGTTAATCACCACAATTAACCTGAACCGAACCCGGGTAACCGACCTCGGATAACCATGTAAATACTGAATATAACAGTATATATACTAGACTTTCAGAATTAATGGGCAACTAAAGCATCAGTTAAATTAATTTAACATGTATGCTGTATCATGTCAAAACGACAAATAAACAAAGAAAATGTTTGTATTTAGCCCCTTGGAGAAAAACCCCCAGAACAAGACCAGGTGTTCCGGAAGGGTAAGCGTCTCCTGCTTCATGGACGATATTCGCCTTGCAAATCTACGTCGAATTGGAGTAATATCATTTCCTCACAACTGTAACTCAGGTATTGGCAATACAATCACAATTAAAACAAGCAAATGGGCATAGTTAAAACCATCGACCTTCATATCAATCTAAAAATAGCATTTTCTATATTATGATTGCGGCAATAGAACTGTCATTAGTCCAAATCAACAAGCAAATATTGAAAGCCTGTGCTGTAAACTTGTCTGTCAGCAGTCGACATCTATCAAGGACGTCATAATATGTGGTGCAAGCTCTTGAACATCGTAGGAAGGGCAGAAACTTGAATGTTACTATCAAGAAAAAGAAAATTCATGATCAGAATTTCGAAATCCTCTCGTTTGTCGTACATATTAGTAATAAGCCGTACCATTGGTAATGTTATAAGTAACGTTCGAGGAAAGACGCTGAATAAGATAACGTATTGTCCTCGATTACAAAGTGAGATGGTATATACGATCGATGTGATCAATAAATGTATTGTTATTTAAAGACAGCAATTCGTCAATACGTCTGAATTTGAAATTGAAAGACTAAGCTAGGTTTTTGTTACTAGTCCTGATAAGCTCATCATTATAATCAGGTTCATATGAAAACAAAAACAAATCCTAATCACCTCCTCATTTACCCTCTCTCATACTTCACATCTGTATTTGTTGCTGTATTTCCTCACTCGTCGCAAATGACATCATCGTCTGCTCATTATTTCACGTACTGACTTCGCTTTTGACTCGACAGAACACTGAACATATTCTTTTTTCTCAACTCATACTACTTGTTATTATTATTGTGGAATACAGAATAGGTCAAAATGATGAATCGTGAGTGCTTCGTCAATCGACAGCCATGTTTTGTTCTGTTTTAGTTAAGATATCGCACATTCAAAGTTTAGAGTTGGTGGGATGCTATACTGTTGATTTTAGCTGAAGGAGACCTCCCACTAGGCAGGTGGCCAAATGATGCCAATTTTGTTGTTTAATAGTAAATATAGTATTGATACAAGTATATTATTACTTCCCTGTTTATTCTATTCTTCACTAGATTTGTTTCAAAGACCTACGGATAAAAATCGTAGATGGTTCCTATTATTCGGAGATAGTATGATGTCTCCATTTCCAAGAGGCTTTAATTCCAGAGAATCACCAGAAGGGAGTGGATAACGTGTTTACTTGTGGCCCCCTGCAACACGAAGGCAACGGGACCTATTTCAGTGGACGAGACGAATTTTGTACCTGTTGTATTTGCAATCTTTACTTCACCATTTATATGTTACGTAGCAACGTACTATCCATTTGTTATATTATACAACAGCATACTGTATAGAATGGAATATTTATAAAAGCTTACTTTCGTGGTGTAAAACCATTTAGATCGTTTCGACGTACCACCGTCCGTGGATACCCCATATAAACAAACAGTTTTGAGGTATATGAATCAAACTTTTTGAATTTATTGTTATTCAGTACTACACTTCTTTTATACTACATAGCAGTATACTCCGCCATTTTGTCATGTGTAATTGAGGTTATATGTAGCCAATGAATTCACCACTTCGCCATGGGTAATTGTGGTTTTATATTGCCAGTGTACTTCTCCACGTCGCCATGTGTAATTGTGGTTTTATATTGCCAGTGTACTTCACAACGTCGCCATGGGTAAGTGTGGTTTTATATTGCCAGTGTACTTCACAACGTCGCCATGGGTAATTGTGGTTTTATATTGCCAGTGTATTTCACCACGTCGACATGGGTAAGTGTGGTTTTATATTGCCAGTGTATTTCACCACGTCGACATGGGTAATTGTGGTTTTATATTACCAGTGTACCTCACAACGTCGCCATGGGTAAGTGTGGTTTTATATTTCCAGTGTACTTCACCACGTCGCCATGGGTAAATGTGGTTTTATATTGCCAGTGTACTTCACAACGTCGCCATGGGTAATTGTGGTTTTATATTACCAGTGTACCTCACAACGTCGCCATGGGTAAGTGTGGTTTTATATTGCCAGTGTACACCACCTCGTCGCCATGGGTAATTGTGGTTTTATATTGCCAGTGTACACCACCACATCGCCATGGGTAAGTGTGGTTTTATATTGCCAGTGTATTTCACCACGTCGACATGGGTAATTGTGGTTTTATATTGCCAGTGTACTTCACCACGTCGCCATGGGTAATTGTGGTTTTATATTACCAGTGTATTTCACCACGTCGACATGGGTAATTGTGGTTTTATATTGCCAGTGTACACCACCACGTCGCCATGGGTAATTGTGGTTTTATATTACCAGTGTACTTCACCACGTCGCCATGGGTAAGTGTGGTTTTATATTGCCAGTGTACACCACCACATCGCCATGGGTAAGTGTGGTTTTATATTGCCAGTGTACTTCACCACGTCGCCATGGGTAAGTGTGGTTATACGTAGCTATTGTATATCGCTATTTCGCCCCCTCGTAGTTGTGGTTTTTAGAAGCTAGTGTACTTCAACCATAGAAAATTGTGGTTTTATATTGCCAGTTGAATTCACCACTTCACTATGTGTAATTGAGGTTATATGTAGCCAATGACTTCACCACTTCAGCATGGGTAATTTTGGATTTATATAGCTTTGTACTTCACCATTTCACCATGGGTAAGTGTGGTTATATATAGCCAGTTGACTTCACCACTTGCCATGCGTAATTAAGGTTTTATGAAGCCAGTGTACTTTAACTCTTCAGCATGGGTAATTGAGATTATACATGTATGTAGCCAGTGTACTTCACCATGGATAATTTTGTTTACATTTTACCAGTGTACTTTACCATTTCGTCCCCGGTGAATGTTGTTATATGTAGCAAGACTAGTGCACTTTGCCACTTAGCCATGGGCAATTGTGGTTATGTGTAGTGCATGGTTTCGATATAAATGAGTTTACATGTGATCGTACTGTTGATAAACATCTATAGCCTTGTGGCTGTGTTATCTATGTTAGATAATAGTGTCTGGTGAGTCATTATGTAGCTAACATTTACAGTGGTGCTCCCTTTCTCAGGTAAAAATTCAAGGCGTTGTATACATGCATTTCACTTCATGTTACTGTATCTTCTCTGAAACATACGTTATTTTTGTGCATTGTAGATACCTTGAACGAATATTTGAAAGTCTTAAAGATGACAAATATCTTTCAAAATAAAAATAAGATAGAAATACAAATATATTGTTAGTTCACATTGAAGGAGAATTTGTTGATTTGTCGTCAGCTTGTCTAAGTATATTTTGCCTTGGAAACAATGACACTAGTAGGATGATCGCCCATATAGCTATAATGTATACGTGTATCGAGGTTTGATGATAACATAACAAACTGTACCTGTTTTTATAATCTTTACAAGTGTCCTGTGGCATGGTGGGATCAAATTCCTGTTGACATAGGTTAGGTAATACGGTACAAATATAGATCAGCGATAGCATGCTGAGCTGCCAGTACCAAACCCAATTAAAACTAATAGTTGTGTATAGACCGGATAGACATTACAAATTTAAAAATGGCGACAATTACATCAAATAGCCTGGAATCAGACCAAACAAAACTATACGTTTGTAAGACATGTACGGAGTTGATATGTGACAAATGTTTAACGACATCTGAGCATGATGATCATAGTGTGATCGACCTGGATGACGCTGGTGTCGAAAAGATGGTGGAAATAACGGATAGCGGTGTTTTACAGGAACTAAGGGCCACTGTTAAACGTCAGGTAACAGGTAATGAGGCACTGCACAGCGAGTTGGCGGACCGGATACACAGTACCGGAAGTTTGCTGAAACTTGAGATTGATAAACAGGTGAAAACTCTCCTAGTAAAATGTAAACAGTTTAAAAACTTAAACAGGGACAGACTTGCTGCGTTTGAAACCAACCTTATATCACTGAACGAAAAACACCAGCATCTTACTGAAGAAAATAGTGACGTCATTAATTCTGATGACAACGAGAATACCTACAATAGAGACACCTCTATGTCGGTAGTGGACTTACCTATTCGCCCTCCTAGGCTGATCCTCGTTAAGTACCAAGAACCTAGCATGATTGACCACTTGGTATCTAAAGCACTTGGTGACCTTTCCTTCCAGGACGACATCAGAGAAGGTAAGGGACTAACATTTCTGATATCACCCTAACGGTAATGAGACTTTATTTATAGATGATCCAGTTAAACAAAGAGTGATTAATATTAACAGCTGATAGGACTTATACACACTGATTATATTTCATGATATTAAATTAGCCCCAGCTGCTGATGTTACCGTTTTAGAATCACTATTTCCGACCCTATTGTATATCACGATTTTCTAGATAATTTCTCTAGACCATGAACTGTTCAGCCAGTGTTTTCAACCAAGGATGTTTCAAGTTACGATTAAGAAGACGTGCAACCGTCATCATCAACGTGTTTAGAAATATACAATATCTAACTTTCGACCCCTAAGGTCACCGATGTGTCCTCAAAGGTCGAAAAAGCTATATGGTGCAACGTACAGTAATTCTGTTATGGCATGCTGTAAGTATTACCAAATTTTTAAGGTGCAGTTACATGTCTAAGTGCTACGTTCATCTTTAAAATCTGGTAAAAAAATTCTTCCCCATCAAGTGATACGTAGTTGGAGAAAAACTTTCTCTCTGGATTTGCTGGGAGCCAGCATGGATTTGTGTCATATGACATACAGACAACGCTGATAACTTCATTGTTACTTGTAGCTGCCTCATGAAGTTTTCCCTTTGGTTTTGATGTCTCTTTGGTCTCTGTTGTTGCGTCCTTAAATGACCTTAGCTGTTAATAGGACGTTAAACAAAATCAAACAAACAAATCTCTGTTGTTGTCGTTTAGTATCTACATTCAGCGATCGTTGTTGTTCCTTTGTGTTGCCACGGTGGGATAAACCTTGTATTTGATTACTGTTTGAGATGTTTAAAGTGTATTTTATTTACTGTACGTTTTGAAATATTGATATGCCTATTTGTATGCTTTCTTTTGTAGAATGTCAATCGTCCAACACACACTTCTAACGTTCAGAGGGATGCTTACACCTATTAATCAGCCGTTAGTAAGGATGTGACCTCGTCCAACCTTCCTGCTGTCTCGACCAATGATTAACGAGGTACAATCGGCGACGTCTATGTCACATCATATAAACTGTTTCACATTGCCTTCAGTTTGATTCCTGATAGCCTTTGCGTAGGCTTACCATGGTGTGGTCACTGATGGCTCACCTTCCATTTCATTACCTCCTCTGCTGTTGTGTGAGAACGGGAAGTGTGATGCTTTACAACACTACATGTATATTTACATTTGCTCTGCAACCCATTATATGAACATTACCAGCAGAAATGCATATCATTCGAGTATGAAAGCAGAAATCCCCATATATCCTTTTTTGATATGGTGGTGTTGTCACCTTTAGATGTTGGCAGTTTCTGACTTGTACCTAAATCAACATTACGTGGGACAATCAAATGGCCCAAAATGTTGTACCAGCCTGTCAGACACCTGTCACACATATGCAGTGCGCAATCAGAAGATACTATGAATGAATAAACATGTTAAACAATCAAAGTTTGTTCATAGCTTTTTAGTTTAGCTCAGGTGACCTATTGCTATCCGTCTTCGACCGTCGTGCGTCGTCCGTTAACATTTTACATTTTCAACTTAAGCTGAAATTTCATTGATACTTCATGGGAATGTTACTGACTACTCCCTGACCAAGTGTTGTTATTTTTCGGGTCGATCAAAAATCAAATATGGCCGCCACGTCCGCCATTTTGAAAAACTATTTCAAACTTCAAGTAATACTTGGCCAATTTAACTGAAACTTAGTAGGAATGATCGACTCATGGTTCTAGCAAAGTGTTGTTATTTTTCGGGTCGATCAGAAATTAAATATGGGCGCCACGGCCGCCATTTTGAAAAAAGACTATTTCAAACTTAAAGTCAAGTTCTACTGGGCCGTTTTAACTGAAACCTGGTAGTAATGATCGACTCATGGTCCTGAAAAAGTGTTGTTATTTTTCGGGTCGATCAGAAATCCAATATGGCCGGCAGGGTCGGCCATTTTGAAAATTTATTTCAAACTTAAAGTCAAATTCTGATAGGCCGATTGAAGTGAAACTTTGTAGGAATGATCGACTCATGGTCCTGACAAAGTGTTGTTATTTTTACTAAAATTTTAGGATGATTGACATCATTATCTCCAATTCATATTTCAATAACAAAAAATAATACTGTAGGACTCATGTGACCGTTAAAGCCCATGGGCCTCTTGTTCATATTGTAACCTTTATACATACTTATAAGTAAGGCAATTCGTCAAAAACGAGGTTATTAAAAGTTAAATGAATTCCAAGCTTGCAATCTTTCTTTCACAATTATGTCTCTACAGAGTACTGCATATTGCTTTATTATACAAATATAAAATATTGTTAAAAAAAATGAAATAAACTTATTCAGTTTAGTTTTTTTGTATTTCATTGGGTTTCACACTGTTTCAGCAGTTTCGTATTTAAAAACACGCCAAAATAAATAAATAAATAAAGGTCAAAACAACCATTGGGCAATACTGATGTATGTCAACACAGAGCTAAATAAAGGTCAAAACAACCGCTGGACAATACTGGTGTCAACATACATAGGTAAATAAAGGTTTAAACAACAGCTGGACAATACTGGTGTCAACACAGACGAAAATAAAGGTTAAAACAACCGCTGGGCAATACTGATGTCAACACAGAGGAAAATAAATTTTAAAACAACTGCTGGGTAATACTGATGTCAACACAGAGGAAAATAAAGGTTTAAACAACTGCTGGACAATACTGATGTCAACACATAGGAAAATAGAGGTTAACACAACAGCTAGATATTAATTTAGTCAACACATAGGTAAATAAAGGTTTTAATAACCGCTGGACAATACTGATGTCAACACAGAGGAAAATAAAGGTTAAAACAACCGCTGGGCAATACTGATGTCAACACAGAGAGAGAAAAAGGTTAACACAACTGCTGGACAATACTGATGTCAACACAGAGGAAAATAAAGGTCAAAACAACCGCTGGACAATACTGGTGTCAACACGGAGGAAAATGAAGGTTAAAACAACTGCTGGACAATACTGATGACAACACAGAGGAAAATAAAGGTTAAAACAACCTCTAGATATTAATTGTGTCAAAAAATAGGTAAATAAAGATTTAAACAACCGCTGGACAATACTGATGGCAACACAGAGGAAAATAAAGCTTAAAACAACCGCTGGGCAATACTGATGTCAACACATAGGTAAATAAAGGTTTAAACAACCGCTGGACAATACTGATGGCAACACAGAGGAAAATAAAGCTTAAAACAACCGCTGGGCAATACTGATGTCATCGCAGAGGAAAAAAAGGTTAAAACAACTGCTGGACAATACTGATGTCAACACAGAGGAAAATAAAGGTTAAAACAACCGCTGGGCAATACTGATGTCAACACATATTGGACAATACTGGTGTACAACCGCTGGACAATACTGATGTCAACACAGAGGAAAACAAAGGTCAAAACAACCATTGTACAATACTAGTATCAACACAGAGCTAAATAAAGGTCAAAACAACCATTGGACAATACTGGTGTCAACACAGAGCTTAATAAAAGGTCAAAACAACCGCTGGGCAATACTGATGTCAATACAGAGGGGAAAAAAGGTTAAAACAACCGCTGGGCAATACTGATGTCAACA